GCTTCCAGAAGAGCTTAGCGAGCTGGCCACAGCACCTGGGCAGGCGCAGGTGAAAGCCTGTTTGTCACGTGACCCCAGCACTCCGGGCTCGGGGCTCCCGGCTGGCATGGGGCCGGCGGCGGGGCCTCCTCTCCTGCTCCAAGAAAGGCGGCTCAGCCAGAGGCACAGTGTGGGGCTCTTTCGCCTCCGGGGAGTCATGTTCTCTTCTGAAGTCAAACTCCGCTTCGTTTCTGGGGAGCGAAAGCCCCCCTTCATGAAGGCACCTGCCGGGGCACTACGAGGAGGACGCTCGCCGTTAACATCGCGCACAGCAGCTGCTATCGTGGTCCCGGGGGAAGGCGGGGCTCATGGCCACGCGCCCTCCACCGGCGCGCACCTGCTGGCCTCACGGGGCGGCACCGGCCGGTCTCGCTGGACTGCCCTGTTCGGGCCCCGCCTGGGGATGTGAGCTTCACTGGGGGGCGGCTTGGAAGCACAGGCCAGTGGCTGGAGAGTTAGGTGGGACGCGTCTTCCTGCCGTGAGCGGAGAACCTCCAAAGGCCCGTGGGTTGGCGGGCTTGGCCCCAGCGTGGTGAGCGTGTGCTGAGCTAGTCCTGCAGCGCTGGGGCAGCGAGGGGTGCTGGGGCCTCTGCGCCCCGTTGCCAGAGGGAGGACAGCCAAGGGTCAAGCGTAGCCCTGCTGAAGCAGGTGCCTGCCCCTCCCCAGCAGGGCGTGGCCAGGACAGGGGCGGGGCCGGGTGGGGCGGGGCCTGGGCCGGGCAGGCGGGGCTGCCCCCCGGAAGGGGCCCTGTCTGCTATAGGAGCTGCCAGGACCACGGGCGGGTGGTGCATTTCGACACGATTTCGCGGAGGGCGTGCACACGTTTATGTAACGTGTACTTTGCATGCCTGCAAACTGGCTGCAGATTCCCCTCCCCCACGGACGCCAGGGCCTGTCACCTGATGTGGCTGGTTAATCCTAGTCAAGTAGGGCTTCAGTTGAACCTGCCTGAGTAACAGGAGCAGGAGAGCCCAGCCGTCCAAGGGCGCGGATTCTGACCCAGAAGAGCTTCCTTTAGCCAGGACAGTCACTGGTCGTTCTCATCTTGCCACACCCAAATCCTTTCCTGCAATTTCCAAATACCTAATGTTTGGAAGGGCAGTTACCTGCATGCAACTTCTCTGCCCATTCTCAGCATATTTAGGGGAGGGCACTTGTCTGGGGCCAAGGTGACGTGCGAGAGACTGTCCACATGCAGTAAGTCTACTCCCCAAAGGAAGGGTCCTGAGCGCTGACCAACTCCCACTTGCTGATCTGCCGGGACCCACTCCCAGTCGCGGTTCCTCCAGGCTGGGGCTGATGGAGACAGAGGCCAGCTCACCCCAGCCAGCACTACCCGCCTGTCGCCCGCGGGCCCACGTGGGGGCTGGTTGCCACTAAGCCAGCGGATGCATCTGCTGCATTACCCAGGTTTCAGATGCAAGAAGAGCCAGTGGGGGTGTTGGTAGGCACCCCTGGAAATTAAAAGCAGGTGGCCCGGCTTGTGAGTCATCACCCATGTGCTTAAGAACTTGGAACAACCCAAAACAGAGATGGAAGCTTCATGTACAGGGGAGTAAGAACAGAGAGAGGAAGATTGATTGGCCAGCCCCTTGCAAGATGCTGTCTGTCCCACCAGCCAAACCAGCAGGCAGTTAGAGCTGGAAAAGCGAGAGGACAAGGCCGCCTGTCCCCACCTTCAAAGGTCAGCACGACCTCTCAGCGCCACCAGCGTTCCCAGCGGCCCCCGCTCCAGAAGGCTGGCTCACTGCAGCCTGAGAGCTGTGGCGACAGGTCAGGGCACAGAGACAGGGTGTGGAGTCCAAAGTCTCGCTGCTCCTCCCCCTGCCAACTCTGACGGAGCAGCAGCCTGTCAGCAGCGCTGTGGGAGGCTCCTTCCTGGCGGGGCGTGTTTTAAGTTCCAGCTCATATTGGCTGCAAGTCTTTGAGCACCAAGTGATGAAGACTTAGCCGATCAAGGCAGCTGATGGATTTCAACTCAGGGTGAACCCAGAGCAGCGGGCATTCGTGTAGGTCCACACTGGTCACGTGACTCTCAGTATCATGTTCTCCCAAACACACGAGACTTGTGAAAGATCTTCCTCAAGATAGGGAAGACCCAGAAGCTTAGCCCCTGTCTCCAAGGAATCCGATTCGCCCAGGCTTCCAGCTGGCCTTCCAGAGGGACAGGCACATGCCCAGACCTCGTGAAGCCCCACGCCAGCATGACCCAAGATGCCTCGCGGTGCCAAAGTGGCTGCAGCGGTTCCAGCCACACCTTTTGCCACCCTGACCTCTAAGAGTAGAGAACGGATCTCAGCTTGCCCAGAGGAAAGGATTCTACTTCCCGTCAGTACTGGCAGTCACCTTCCCCACCTACCTGATTCTGATGAAGTGGGCTATTACCCCACTTAAGCTTAATTGCTATTCAGCCAGGGCTGAAGTTACTAGAAAGAGCTTTCCTTTGCATTCTTGCTGTGTCTTCTCAAACATACCAGCCAATGCCCACTGCTCGCTTAATTAGGGTCCGCCCCCGAGTGCCCAATGTGCCTCGCTCTGTCCCTGCCATTTGGCCCAGGGCTCTAGTCCTCTGCCTGAAATAGCAACCGCCGCTATTTAACTGAATGTTACAGGACCTGAAGAGAAAATACAGCGCTCTGGAGAAATGTTCCTACAAAATCTGCAAGACTAAGTTGAATGCCTTGGGAAGTTGGACAGAGGCGTCAAGAGGACTGGTCAGTCGTGCACGAGACAACTATGACGGCCAGATGGGATATGTGAAAACCCTGTAAGTGCGAACAGCTGAGGGGCTCTGGAAGCCGCTCCAGGCCCGCGAGGCTCAGGAGGGAGAATGTTAAGCGACGCGACCAGAAGACCCGCACTCAAGGAGAAGCTCTTGGCAAATGCATGAGCGTCGAAAAGAATGAAAGTCAGGTCGAATATGGCGAAGGTGGTTTCATCTGCCTGGCAGCCAAGCAGCTGGCACACAGCCAGCTGGGCTGGCTGCTTCTGGGGAGGGGGAGCCCCAGAAGCGTCGTGGCATTGATCTTCATGAAGACGTGAAGTCCCGGGCCTGGCTCGCTCCTGCCGGCCTGACCCAGCCACCGAGGCAGTGGGGTGCCCTAAGTCTGGCGGAGAAAGGATCCACCTGCCCTGGTGAGAGCCGCTCGGGGCAGCAAGGGCTGCGGAATCCAGTTTGGACTTGAAGGGCCGGGGGAGCCAGCCCTGTGGGGCACTCAGCCTCTCCGGAAGTGGTCAGCAGCGGAGAGCACTGGCGACGGGGCGCAGGCCTGCCCCCCGGCTTCCCAGGGGTGCATTTCATCTGATGAACGAGAACCAGCCACACTCACAGACCTTGCTCTACATGGCATCGGCTGGAAATTCTTCCACGTGTTCCTCAGCACCCACACTCCCAGGAAGAGGGGAAAAGAGGCACCTCTCGTGACTGCCAGGCTCGCTGCCCGGAACGTCAGTCACCTCTTTCCCCAGGAGAACGGGCCGCCGGAGGCCCCTCCACCAACAGGTTTTCATAAAAGGAAGGCGTCGGTGGTGGGCTCGGTGCCCAGGAGCCTCCGGCCTGGAAGAGTCTCCAGACTCGGGGCCCAGGCCCTGGCTGAGCTCACGGAATTGCTGCTTGGCGGAGATAGACGCCAGGGCGACTGCCAGGAGTTATCAGCAGGGTGCAAGGGCACACTCGGGCTCACGGCCTCATCTGCAGCCGCGGCCCTCTTGCGTGCTGGCTGCTGATAACCCCGCACCCTCGCCCTCCAGGTCCTGGACGGGCTCCAGGACCCGGCTCTTGGAGCCTCCTCGCGGGCCGTGCCAGCCTCCGAGCGAGCCTGCCGTGCCAAGAATACCAGAACTGTGAGATAACATCTCCCCC